TTTAGTTTTTTTTTAATTTTCAGCTAATCACACGGTGACACGTGTTACAAAAATAAAAAATAAAAATTACCTTTTTAACCGGTTACCAGCACTCGGGACTAGTTTGAGCGGATGACCCCCAAAGTCGGGATTATTTAAAGTGAATACGTGAAAGTTGAGATTATTTTTACCAATTTTCATTGAACACATGAAATTAAAACTCTACAGTCTACAGTTCCCCAATTTGTTACGGAATAAAAAATACGAGAGAGCGAAAGTGCGAGAGGGAAAGTGAAGGGGCTTTCGAGTGAAGAAGAAGACCTTTTACAAAGGTTCAACAAGAAATTCAAATTTTTACACCAGAGAATTCGCCAATGGCGGAGGCTGAGAATGGAGATGATGCAGACCATTCTTCATGTGGAAGATGTGGTGATGGAAACCTTGGTGGAGGAACCAAGAAAGGGGACTGCCCAGCTGCAACAGAAGATTTCTTATAGCCGTATGACCAAGGGAAACGCTAATATCCAATTCAATTCTGGCACAATTGATATTAGTGATGAAGATTTTATTTCGGATGATGATATTCCTCTTGATTGTGATTCGGATGATGAGTTTTGCCCCAATTTCCTTTTAACCAAAGAGGAGAAAAAAAGGTTGCGGAAACCTTGGAAGAATGCTATAATGATTAAGCTATTCGATAAGAGATTAAGCTATGAAGTTCTTATCGAGAGGCTACGAATTTAGTGGAGTCTCAAGGGGGATATCTCCTTAACGGATGCTGGGTTTACATACTGCACAGTGAGGTTCACGAACATGGAAGATTATCATTTTGTGCTCACTCAGGGGCCTTGGATTATAGGGGATAGTTATCTTACTATTCGAAAGTGGGTGCCTAACATTGTTGTGGATGAAGCACCCATTAAGTTCCTTACGGATTGGGTTCGAATTCCAGGACTACCAATTGAATATTTTGACAGACATTTCCTTCACAAGATTGGTTCAAAGATAGGGAAAGTGGTGAGTATTGATATACACACTGAGGTAGTGAGTAGAAGCCAGTATGTTCGATTTAGCATTGAAGCTGATTTATCAAAGCCGTTGTTGTCTAAGTTTAGATTGAATGGTCGAGTTTGGCGTATTCAGTATGAAGGCTTGAAGCAAATCTGCTTCAGATGTGGCAAATTAGGGCATAAAGAGAATGATTGTGAGCTATAAATTGTCCATGATGATAGTGGTGAACGAATTATTAAGAAGAAGGATCAGCAAGTCCAAGAGCAAGCTAATAGAGTTCGACCTGAAGAACAAGACCAGTTTGGGTCATGGATGCTGGTGCAGAGAAATACGAGAAAATATGTGCCTAAGCCAAAGTTTCAATCACCGCAAAAACAGGTCACTAGTGAAGGTCAAGAAAAAAGCAAGAATAGTAATGTGGCAGTTCCGATGGAGAACATGGCTAAGCAGGGTCCCAATCAAGTTTGGAAAAAGGTCGATAATAAGAAGTCTGACTCAAATTCTGGGTCTAGATTTGTCATTCTAGGGTCGGAGGATGATATGGAAATGATTGACTTAGTCAAGGACCAGAATAGGCAAGTAGAAGAGATGACTACAGACATGGAAGGAGTTTCTAGGGAATCCTCGGATATTTTGGAGGAAGCTGTTAATTTGGGCGAGAATAGCGGGGCAATGGGTAACAAAATCATAGATTTGGATAATTCACATAATGTGATAGAGGTGGATATGGAAAAAAGATCAATTGTTGATTTGGAAGATTCATTGGTGAAAGAAAAAGACGATAATAATGAAGGAAATATCTTAGCAAAAGATAATCGTGGAAATTATTTTCAAAATAATGGAAACAAAACAAGTCGCGAGATATTCCAGAATAATAAGGAAAATATTGATCCTAGCACCAAAAATAATATTGAGAAATCACCAATTTCGAAATTCAGAGATACTGAAGATTTGGTGATTTGCGAAACTCCTTCGACCTTAAGGAGTAACTCTAATTGTTTGAATTTGGAGAGCAATTATGGAACCTTGGGAAAGCATGATGTCCCCCCGGATCACGATTACACTCGAAGTCCGAACTCCGTACAGCCTTTGCAGACTATCAGATGGAGGGGCCGACTCAAATTAGAAGAGGTGAGTGAGATGTGGGACCATCAAAGAGGTTGGAAGTTTCAATTATTTGCAGACTATTTACCTGGTGACACATTGAATATTATTCAAGTTTTCGAACTCATAGAGGATGAAGAAGCAGTTGATAGTATATTTTGGAAGGGCTCTCCTTTCGGGGGTTTTACCATGAAGTCAACCATGGAGATTATTAGACAAGGTGAAGAAATTAGTGAGGAGGAGAAAGTGTCGTGGAGTATTATTTGGAAAGTCTAAGCACCTCAAAGGATGCGTTTCTTTTTCTGGCTTGCATATAGAGAGAGATTGATAACTAATGCAACAAGGTTCTTGAGGCATCTCACCACTGACCCTCGATGCCTGGTTTGCGGATTTGTTGAGGAGAATGCGGATCATATTTTGCGTGGTTGTCCAGCTGCATTAGCAGTGTGGCGGAAGTTGGGGGTAAATGTCGAAGCTCCATATTTTTGTGTGCCTTTTAGAGATTGGATCATGAAGAATTTGAGGACTGTTGGGTGCTTTGATAGGGAAGACTAGAACTTGTTATTTTCCGTAACATGCTGGTGGTTGTGGTGTTGGCGCAACGCTGGAAGCTTTGATAGAGAACTGGATATCTCGATTGATCAAGCATGCTTTATTTTGGCAAGGGTGGGTGACATACACAAAGCTTATGACCGCAATTTGGTAGAAAGACTGATAAGTGTATTTTATATATTTTTATTCCCCGTCCCTTGGTCATAGTTAGGAGTATTTTTGGCTCTTTAGAGCCACTTTTATTACTAATATGCGTTTTCTAGTGCTTTCGTAGATGTGGTATTATTTTACAGGAAATTGCAGAATTGGAGTATTTCCCCGTACTTAGTTGAGCTACCGCGAGCATTGGAGTGGAAACGCATTGCTATGATCGTATTCCGAAGCCCAGGACCGTGTTAGAGAAGTCGACCCGGTGATTAAGGGCTCAGTGATGAAAAGAGGAGCTTGGGCATTGGACCCAAGGAAAATAATTTATTGGGCTAAATTTTTAAGCCCAAAGAAGTGAAGGAATATACGCGCCCGAGCACTCGCCCGACCGGGCAGGGCTTCGCCCAAAAGCGCGCCCGGCCGGGCGAGGGAGTATAGGAAAGGGGCAGAGCTTCGCCCTATCTCGCGCCCGACCGGGCGCGAGCGAAGCTTTGGAAGAGAAAAGGCGCGCCTGACCGGGCGGTGCCTCGCCCGACCGGGCGCGTGTTTACGTTAGGATTTTTAATTTGTTTTAGCTTTTTCTTTAATTAGTATTAAGAGTTTAGTATAAATACGCTTTTGTTAAGCGAGTTTAGGAGGATTTTTCTTTACCTTCCCCTCTCTCTCTCTTTCTCTATTTTCTCTCTTACTTTCTCTCTCTACACACTTTTTCTCTCTACACACTCTTGAATTTTATGCAATTAATTATTTCCATTAATTTTGGTAACGATTTGCTTCCCTCTTTACCTTCAGTAATTTAATTGCTTTGATTTAATTATGTCTTACTTTATTGCTTTGCTTAGTTAGATTTTAATATGTGTGAGTAGTTTAATTCTAGGGTTGTGGGGATCCATGAATAATACGAAGGGGTAATTTATTATTCTTGATTATTGATGATTGGTTAATTTCCTATTGATTGATTTAATGCTATGCAATTAGATTTGCGCAGGTTTAATTGCATGAGTGTTGCAATATTGATTTGAGATTCGAGAGATGAGAATTGATGTTTAGGCTTAGTTTCAATAGGCATATTAATCTATAAATGGTTAGGTCGAGATTCGAGAGATGAGATTTAATATCGGTAGATTAATTATGAGATTATAATACGTAGCGAAAGCCCTTTATAATCTGATTAATTTATGCATTGATAATTGATTGTTATGTTTTACCCTGGAGTATTATTTATTGGTGAAACCTACACCCTAGGCTTTTTAGTATTGATTATTCCCTTAGCTATTTTGTTTAGTTTAATTCCTACAAATACAAATTGGTTACTTGATAATTTAGATTATAACTGTTGATTAGGAATAAAAGAACATTGTTTCCCTGTGGACTCGACCCTACTTCCCTATCTATTGTAGTTAGAAGACTTAGGAATTACTTTTGATTAGGTGATATGACTAGAGCCTGTCAAAGACCAGGTAAAAGAATAAGAGAAGAGATTTTCGTGAGGTGGGAAGTTCCTCCTATTGGCTGGGTTCGATTGAACACCGACGGGGCTTCGAAGGGAAATCCCGGGCTAGCAGGTGCGAGTGGCATAATCTGTGACCACACAGATGAGGTGCAAGAATTGTTTGCGATGAGATGTGGTACCTGCACGTGTACAAGGGCAGAATTGCTGGCGGTTTTGAGAGGTCTTGCCATTGCTTGGAATGGTGGTCATCGGAAGGTCCAAGTGAAGGTTGATTCAGAAGTGGTGGTTCGCTTGTTAGTAGACTCGATTCTTACTAACTCTCCTTATATTCTTGTAATCCGAAAGTGCAAATCCCTAATTGAGAGACAAGGATGGGAAATCACAATCGGACATTGCTATAGGGAAGCCAATAGAGTAGCTGATTGGTTGGCTAACTATGGGGTTCACATGGAGCAAAAAATGGTCATCTTAGAGGCGGTCCTGGAGGATCTTCAAGCCGTTTTATTGGAGGACCTTAGAGGTGTGGCCTTTTCGAGGAAGGTGCCACTAAGTTAGTACTTTAGTGTATGGTTTGTTTTATGTTTTTTTTTTTATTTCTGCGATTTTTTCTTTCTAGTTTGCTAGTTTCTTCTTGTTTTTGGGGCTTGCCCCTCGTTTCCACCAAAAAAAAAAAAAAAAAAAAGTCTACAGTTCCCGTCTAAATAAACAAACCTCAAAGAGCCGCGTGTACTCAACCGCCAACACAATTGAAAATTGAAAATAAAATAAAAATAAAAATAAAAAATCAATCACCCAATTCATTCGAAGAGAGAAAATTCGAGCTGAAGAAGCTTTCCAAGCAGCCATGGCAATTGCGACTCGCATCGCCATGACTGCAGCTTCGTCAATTTCCTCTTTAATTTCTGTTCACTGCCATAATTTCGATTTTCGAAACCCTAGATATTCATCATCATCGTCAGCTGCGTCGGCTGATTATGCATCATCTTCAAATCGGAAGACGAAGAAGAGTAATCAAACTGATCGATTATCTGCTGTTATCGATGCTGCTAATGATCGCAAGCTTCCTCCTGAACTTCGTGGCCAACGCAATAATGTCAGGTTTTCTCTCTTTCCCCAACTTATTATCTTCCTTTTATACTTGTATGAATGTTAAAAGTTATCGTATTAGATACCCGTGTTGGATACTCGACACTCAGATTTGTCGGGTATGACACTGCAAAGTGTTTTATATAATGTTGTGTTTGACACTTAGAGACGTACTCGTATTGGACCTTTATGAGTAACATAACAAAATTGTACATTTGTACGTAGTGCTTTGCTGCAATGTTTAATAATGCAATTGCAAGATGCTATGATAAATTTAACCCGGAATCGAGGGTCTCATAACTATATACATGTACATATGTGAATTGCACAATGTCAATTGGCTTGAGATGTTCATTCTAAATTCTGTGGTATTGCTGTGATCATATTTGGAGTTTCTTTGACTCATAATTAGCAAGTAAACAATGTTTGTCTCAGCCTATGCCACGATTCGAGCCAAGGAAAGATTTGATATGTGTTGGTTTTCCCTTGGGGATTAAATTTTATCACAGGCAAAAGAGCATCAAAGCAACATTAAAGGTCAAAAATGTGTTTTTGGGTTAGACTTTTCTGAAGTATCTTGGAAATAAGAATGATTAATCAAGCTTCATTAATTGGGGTTTGAAAGTCTACTAAAAATTTTGTCTTTGGCTCTTTGCCATAATGTAGAATATCTACTTTGTGGAGTCACTTAAAGACTATGTATTGTCTAGGATATTGCTTAAGCTATTTAGAAAGCTATTGAGTTCGCCATGTTCTGTATATCTGTTGACCTCAATTAGTTTTGGTGACGACAAGTCGATTTGATAGGAGTGTATTAAGTGTGTAGGTTGTTTAGGCAGGTTCCGGGGTTGGAACAAAGAGAAGTCCTTAATCTACATATGACATACACTGTGGATATTTTGAAGTTAAGAAAGCAAAGAAGGTTTTATGCTAGGATGTTTCTTTTGAAAAGATAATTATCAAAGGTTCAATTGAGATATCGTATAAAGCAATGAGTATTACATGAAGACTAAAAAGTATGAGTTATTATTTTTTAGGCTTATGGGATTAAGGCTTTGATTGATTGATTGGTTGGAACAAAAGGAATATGAGAGCTAATTGGAATTAAAAATTGGTTTTGGTTAAAATTATAAAAAGGTATTTTTTGTAATTAGAATTTTTTTTTTTAACAAACTAACTATATATTCTGTAAAATGATTTTAACTGATCCCTTAAATTATGCTCCAAGAAAAAGATTTATTCAACTCTCTACCCACGTTCTATTGAACAACTCTTCATCTCCACTGCTTGAGTTATTTCAGGAACACTAGCTCAAGTAATGGAGGATGTGAGGAAGGTGGTTAGGATGTTGGATCAGTATTAAAAGGGAGTTAAGTTTCAGTTTTTAGGGATCCTGACAATTGTACAATATTTGAGTAAGAAATATATTTGTGTCAGTGAGAGTATTGCTTTGTTCCAACTATTGTAAGATCATCTAAACACGTAGAGTTCAAATTACCGAGTTGTAATTTGGGAAAGGGTTGAATGATCCTTGTAAAGGCTTAGTGATAAGTTTTGAGTGTAGGCTTAGGAGTAGAAGCTAAAGTAAGCATTTGGGTTTGGCTTAGCTTCTTAGTGGAACTTAAGTTTTGTCGAGTTCCTTATAGGTTGTAACGGAGTAGTTGCCCTATTTAGTGAAGTCGAGTTTGAAAATCCCAAGTGGTCGTGGTTTTTCTCCTTATTGGGCACAAGTAGTTTCCACGTAAAAATCTCTTTGCATCTCTTTATTTTGTTCTACGTTATAAATTTCCGTAAAATTTGGGAACACTAGTTCGTACACAATTCACCCCCCTTTTGTGTGTTCCATCTAAGTTAACAAGTGGTATCAGAGGTTACTCATAGAAAGTGGACAACCCTATTGAGTTGAGATCTAAACAAAATGAACACGCACGAGAAACTTGAAGAAGGTTACTCTATTCAGAGCCGATGTTCAACGGCAAATTCTTTTCCTATTGGAAGAACCGCATGGAAATCTTCATCGAAGTAGAAAACTATTAAGTGTTGCGAGTTATTGTAGTGGGTGACTTTGAGGTAACAACAACCAATGAGGTAATTCCTAAACCAATCTCTATGATAAAGATGATTTTGATAAAATGGAGGTTAATGCTAGAGCTGTAAAATTGCTCCACTGTGGTCTTGAACCCCATGAACATAATAGAGTCATGGGATGCAAGAATGCAAAGTAGATATAAGATTTACTGCAAGTCACTCAGGAAGGAACAAATGAAGTTAAGCGTTCCAAAATAGATCTTTGGATGTCTAAATATGAACGTTTTGAAATGAATCCAAAAGAATCTATTCAAGAATTGTTTACTCGTTTTACTAACATAACTAATGAGTTAGTCTCTCTTGGAAGAACTATACCAATTGATGAACAAGTACGAAAGATCCTAAGGAGTCTTTCACAAGATGAAAGATGGAGAGCCAAGGTTAGTGCGTCGCAAGAAACAAAGGATTTCACAAAATTCAATATTGACCAACTGGCCGGATCTCTCATGACTCATGAGCTTCACCTTGGAGCAAGTAAAACGGAGAGTTCCAATAACCGTAGACTTGCGCTTAGGGTTGAGGAACAAGATGATTCAGGACCTGATGAAGAACAAGTTGTCATGATGGTTAGAAAGTTTAGGAGGTTCTATAAAAACCCTAAAACTGGAAACTAAAAGGGCAAAAATCCGGCAAGAGAGTATCCAATTCCAAACTTGATCCCGAGTGCTTCAAGTGTGGAAGTTCAGAACACCTCATTTGTGAGTGTGGGAAACTAATCAAGGAAAAGCCAAAGGAAAGGAGCAAACAAAAGAAAGATACAACAAACCAACCTTTGGAAAATTCGACTACCACAAGGCAATGATTGCAGCTTGGTGTCGTGACTCAGAATTAGAAGATAATGAGGAGCCACTTAATGAAGAGGATGGTCAATCTATATCTAATGGCCAAGATCAAAGAAAAGAAAGATGTTCCATCAAATGAGGTATGTTCCGAAACCCTTTGTGTTTTAACTAAGGAAAAATTAATTAAATTGTTGTTAGAAACATTGGATGTTTTTAAAAAGCTTAGCATTGTAAAGGAACAAAGTGATAAAGCTCTCAAGATTAGTAAGGACCACATCACCTATCTCAACAGTACTAGATCACACGTCTAAGTAGGGTCTTTGATCCTTTTGGATCAGAAGTGCTAAAAGAGTCTTTTAAACGTACCAAGAGTGAGAGCATTACTCTTAAGGTAGAACTTGCTCAATATAAATTTTTTAATGCTAGTTTGGATTTTGCAGGTTCTATTAAGACACATGCGCATTTTCAATGCTGATTTTGAGAAATTGAATAATGACCTTATTACTGTTAAGGTTTAAAAGGAAAAACTTGAAAAGGAACTTGATTTAGCTAATGCTAGGAAGAAGAAAGTCCTTAAGGTTACTCCTAAGTATATCCTTGATGCTCAAGTTCGTAAGAAAAATAAATATGTAGATTTGCTAAGTAGTAAGCTCTTCTCCTTTTGTGGTAATGCAGGTAATTTCAAAGAAGGTTGTTCCAAAAGGAATAAGATATTGCTAGAAAATGAAAATATATGTGGGTTAAGAAAACTAGTGATGATGAAAAGGAACTCGAGGAAACCCGAGTTCCTGAAACTAATTATTAGTTTTCTTAAAGGTCGCAGTGAGGGGGAACAACACTTGGTACCTCGACAGTGGGTGTTCCAAACACATGATAAAAGACAAATCTAAATTTCTCTCACTGAAGACCTATAATGGAGGAACGATGACTTTTGGTGACAACAAGAAAGTCGAGATAATCGCAATTGAAAAAGTAGGAAAGTCAAGTTCCCATGCAATTGACAATGTATTTTTAGTCGAGGGCCTTAAGCACAACTTATTAAGCATCTCACAATTTTGTGATAAAGGCAACTCTGTAAGTTTCACTTCTAACTCCTGTAGAATTTTTAATAGTGACAATGAGGAGGTTATGTGGGAAGGAATTTGTAAAGGGAACACATACATTGTGGATCTCAACACAGTTCCTAGGAACAACCTAACATGCCTTAGTGTCATTGAAGATGACACACTTCTATGGCATAGACACCTTGGACATGCTAGTATTCCTCTCGTTGACAAACTTAGGTTAGAAGAGCTTGTTGCGGGGCTTCCCTCGGTAAAGTTTCTCAATGGAAAAGTTTGCACTGCATATGTGAAAGGGAAACAGGTAAGATCCTCATTTAAAAGTAAGAAAAATGGTGAGTTCCACTAAACCTTTGGAGCTCATTCACATGGAATTGTGTGGTCCAATGAGGGTACAGAAAAGAAGTGGTAAAAGATATGTCCTGGTAATAGTTGATGATTTTTCTCGTTTTACATGGGTAATATTTCTTTCTAGCAAGGATGAGACTTTTGATGAATTTACTGCTTTTGCTAAAAGAATTCAAATGACAAGTGGTTATCAACTTATTAGTATGCGTTCTGACCTTGGAACTGAGTTTGAAAACTCAAAATTTGATGAGTTTTGCAGGGGAACACGTAATGGATCATGATTTCTCGGCTCCAAGAACTCTACAACAAAATGGAGTCGTAGAAAGAAAAAATAGGACCTTGGAAGATTTGGCTAAAACCATGCTTATTGCTAGCAATCTTCCTTGGAACTTTTGGGCCGAGGCAGTAAATACTGCATGTTGTATGATCAATAGAGTCATGATCTGACCAATAACTAACATGACACCCTATGAGCTATTCAAAGGCAGGAAACCAAATATATCTCATTTTAGAACTTTTGGTAGCAAGTGTTTCGTGCACAACAATGGTAAGAGAAACATAGGAAAATTCGATAAAAGGAGTGATGAAGCTGTATTCCTTGGCCATGCAGGAAATAGCAAAGCTTATAGAGTCTATAATAAAAGGACAATGTGTGTTGAGGAGTCTGTACATATTATTTTTGATGAACCTGACTATTTATCTAGTGTACAGGAACATGAGCTTGAATAGGAAC